TTCTCTTCCATGATACAAGGTTGGTAATCATCTTCCATGATACAAGGTTGGTAATCATCTTCCATGATACAAGGTTGGTAATTATCTTCCATGATACAAGGTTGGCAATCATCTTCCATGATACAAGGTTGGTAATCATCTTCCATGATACAAGGTTGGCAATCATCGTCTCTTCCATGATACAAGGTTGGTAATCATCTTCCATGATACAAGGTTGGTAATCATCTTCCATGATACAAGGTTGGCAATCATCTTCCATGATACAAGGTTGGCAATCATCGTCTCTTCCATGATACAAGGTTGGTAATCATCTTCCATGATACAAGGTTGGTAATTATCTTCCATGATACAAGGTTGGCAATTATCTTCCATGATACAAGGTTGGCAATTATCTTCCATGATACAAGGTTGGTAATCATCGTCTCTGCCATGATACAAGGTTGGTAATCATCTGATACAAGGTTAGTAATCATCTTCCATGATACAAGGTTGGCAATCATCGTCTCTTCCATGATACAAGGTTGGTAATCATCTTCTCTTCCATGATACAAGGTTGGTAATCATCTTCTCTTCCATGATACAAGGTTGGTAATCATCTTCCATGATACAAGGTTGGCAATCATCTTCCATGATACAAGGTTGGTAATCATCTTCTCTTCCATGATACAAGGTTGGTAATCATCTTCCATGATACAAGGTTGGCAATCATCTTCCATGATACAAGGTTGGCAATCATCGTCTCTTCCATGATACAAGGTTGGTAATCATCTTCCATGATACAAGGTTGGCAATCATCTTCTCTTCCATGATACAAGGTTGGCAATCATCGTCTCTTCCATGATACAAGGTTGGTAATCATCTTCCATGATACAAGGTTGGCAATCATCTTCTCTTCCATGATACAAGGTTGGCAATCATCGTCTCTTCCATGATACAAGGTTGGTAATCATCTTCCATGATACAAGGTTGGTAATCATCTTCCATGATACAAGGTTGGTAATCATCTTCCATGATACAAGGTTGGCAATCATCGTCTCTTCCATGATACAAGGTTGGCAATCATCTTCCATGATACAAGGTTGGCAATCATCGTCTCTTCCATGATACAAGGTTGGCAATCATCTTCCATGATACAAGGTTGGCAATCATCTTCCATGATACAAGGTTGGTAATCATCTTCCATGATACAAGGTTGGTAATCATCTTCCATGATACAAGGTTGGTAATCATCTTCCATGATACAAGGTTGGCAATCATCGTCTCTTCCATGATACAAGGTTGGCAATCATCTTCCATGATACAAGGTTGGCAATCATCGTCTCTTCCATGATACAAGGTTGGCAATCATCTTCCATGATACAAGGTTGGCAATCATCTTCCATGATACAAGGTTGGTAATCATCTTCCATGATACAAGGTTGGTAATCATCTTCCATGATACAAGGTTGGTAATCATCTTCCATGATACAAGGTTGGCAATCATCGTCTCTTCCATGATACAAGGTTGGCAATCATCTTCCATGATACAAGGTTGGCAATCATCGTCTCTTCCATGATACAAGGTTGGCAATCATCTTCCATGATACAAGGTTGGTAATCATCTTCCATGATACAAGGTTGGCAATCATCGTCTCTTCCATGATACAAGGTTGGCAATCATCTTCCATGATACAAGGTTGGTAATCATCTTCCATGATACAAGGTTGGCAATCATCGTCTCTTCCATGATACAAGGTTGGTAATCATCTTCTCTTCCATGATACAAGGTTGGTAATCATCTTCTCTTCCATGATACAAGGTTGGTAATCATCTTCCATGATACAAGGTTGGCAATCATCGTCTCTTCCATGATACAAGGTTGGTAATCATCTTCTCTTCCATGATACAAGGTTGGTAATCATCTTCCATGATACAAGGTTGGCAATCATCGTCTCTTCCATGATACAAGGTTGGTAATCATCTTCCATGATACAAGGTTGGTAATCATCGTCTCTTCCATGATACAAGGTTGGTAATCATCTTCCATGATACAAGGTTGGCAATCATCGTCTCTTCCATGATACAAGGTTGGTAATCATCTGCCATGATACAAGGTTGGTAATCATCTTCCATGATACAAGGTTGGCAATCATTGTCTCTCCCATGATATCACGGCGGTGGATATCCGACGAAATTTATCGTGATTATACTACCCGACCTCACACTCTGTTGAAAGGGCAATCGTAGAACAGCATGGAATCTGGCTCACTACCAGACTTACACTCCACCGAGATCAAAGGTCAACACTACCACTGGCCCGTTCTTCGGATCGCACAGGACAGAGACGGGAAAAGATCAGTACAGTGTATGGCTCCTTTTCTGATGTACATTTCACTCAGATGCGAGCCAGAGGTCAGCGTAGAATCTGACTCCTTTCCCGCCTTGCACCCTCGAGACGTGAATATAAAAAAACCAGCGCGATGTCCTCCTTCCCCGTTTCGCGCAACAGAGTTAGGAATTGAATATCAGCTAACCTCTCAATCTTCAGAGATTGAAATCGCAGACCAGTTTTGCTTTAGTTTCTTCCCCCAACTCTCAGTCAGAAGAGATGGAAATCGAAGACCAGCGCTCTATGTGTCTCTTTCTTCAAACATCAGAACACCAGCCTGTCGTTGATTTCTTCCCCATCCCTTGGTCTACAATGATTAAAGTTGAACACCAGCCTGGCGCTGGTTTCGTACCAACCTCTTGATTTACAATGATGAGAATCGAATACCAACTTCCACTTTCCCGATCTCCCACTAAACAGAGTTAGAATAAGCCTAGATCAGCGTTGATTTCCTCTTTCGATCTCCCACTAAACAGAGCTGGAATAAGGCTAGAACGGCGTCGATTTCCTTTCCCGACCTCCAACTTAACGGAGCTAGAATAAGCCTAGACCAGCGTCAATTTCCTTTTTCGACCTTCCACTAAACAGAGCTGGAATAAGCCTAGACCAGCGTCAATTTCCTTTTCGATCTCCCACTAAACAGAGCTGGAATAAGCCTAGACCAGCGTCAATTTCCTTTTTGATCTCCCACTAAACAGAGCTGGAATAAGCCTAGACCAGCGTCGATTGCCTTTTCTCGACCTTCCACTAAACAGAGCTGGAATAAGGCTTGAACGGCGTCGATTGCCTTTCCCGATTTCCCACTTAACAGAGCTGAGATTGTTATCAGCTCACACTATTCAACACTTAACATTGATAATAAAATCTTACCCAAAAAAAACGATAAGAAAATACGTTTAATTGAGACACGTTCTCCAAATTTTCTCCTCGTTATTTTGGCCACAATGAGAGAGACAGCAACTGTTGGATTGTTACAAGGCCCGTGGCGTGATCTGTTTGATGGTGCCGGTTCTCAAGCCAGGCCGACTGTACGGGTTATGTATGGTTATCTGTAGAAGATGATCTCGCTTGTGATGTAGTGATAGACAGACTTGACATGGAAGCTCGTGCCGCCGTAGGACCTACGATTGTGACCCAAATGCTGTAGAGAATGAGACCTCGAGGTTTAGCTTCGTTACCTCACCAAAACTCGATAACGAGGATTAGTGTAGCAATACCAAACATCTGAATGTATGTCTCAATTGTTTACAACAGATTACCGTCAACCAGTTATCTAGTATTATCTATCAATTAATAGTGAAGCCATTTTTATATTTATAAAAACTCTTTTCTAAAAATTGTTTCACTTAATGCTTTTGTGTTTTGGTTTGCGATTCATAAAATGTACATATTTCGACTATTTCGAATATTCATTAGTTAGCGATATATTTTTGGCAAGAATTAAGACTTAAGTACTTGGGGTTTTTTTTGGGGGGGGGTTGGGGGGTTGGGGGGGATGGGGTGGGGGTGGGGTGGGGGTGGGGTGGGGGGGTGTCTTTCGAGAGCGGGTTCATTACCAAAAAGACAAGCATGGTAAGACATCAGATTGCCTAGTCTTATGCATTTCTGAACACTGAAACATTTTCTTTTAAATAGTACTGTCGGAGAGCCAGCTATTCTTATATAGGCTGAAAACTGAAATAATGTATCTAATAGAAAACACCCCTGCCACGGTGTCAACGTTAGCACGCCATGAGTTAAGTGAACGTAGAGTGTGCCATCGCGGGTTTACTAGTTCGTAGCGGCGCACGTATTACATATAAATGTTCTGCATATCAAAACATATTTGAAGGTGAAATCTTTAGATAATTTAATTCAAATGGGAAAACATGTAAGGCTAGATGATATATCGGTGTAGTTAGGTTATAGAGCTCCCGTGCATACAGTTGTTTCATGTCTAAATTGCCAAGCTTTGATGATACAAATTCAAAGTTGGAAATTTATCTAGAGCTTCAAAGGGGAGGTAAAAGGTGAAACTACATGTGCTGTTGTACACGTTCGTTATAGAAGGCAATTAGCTCTAAAGGCTTGGACTAAAAGCATGTGTAGGTGTTTGACTGTGTACTGTGGGGATGTACACTGCCTCACAGAGGAACAGTGTTGTCTGACTGGTACAAGTGAGTTCCTTTAATTGGGAACCTGATGTCGATTCACGAAAATCAAGTACAAGATCACGATATTGGCATGTTGTGTAGCGGCAGGCAGGAGTATAATAATGTATTTCTCTCAACACAGAATTAGCTACTTCCGGTTTGTTAATTGCGACTTCCGTTAAACTGTTTGATGAATCGGGTAACCTGTGTTGAAAAGCAGTCATGCTATAGATAAATGATGTTAACTATATCATGTAAATTTGACAGCTCTAAATAACTGATAGCAATTTCCAGCAATGTTGAAATTGAACAACAGCCACTAAAACTATCACTTTGGAAGAGACTGTTTGCATATGCCTAAAATGACAGAGCTAGTCGGTCTTCGACAGACAAACACCCAAAATAAGTTGTTCTCTGTTCTCATTAGCAGAAGCGTTTTAAGGACTGAGATTTTCAATCACTGTTTTTATGTAAATGCCACTGTTTGTTTGGTATTACAGGACATTGGCTAACATTGGACAGCCGTCCAATGACCTCCACTCAAATACCCAGTTATATAACAGCCCCAGTCTGCTGCCTCTCACCAAACGACAGCGTAGACTTGTCGCCAAGAACCCGGGCACCATATTGGCTTTAATGACAGGTGCCCGGATGGCAATAGAAGAATGCAAATATCAGTTTCGAAATAGACGTTGGAATTGCCCAACTATGGACGTCGGAAACGGAGGGCCGATATTCGGTAAAATACTTCAGAGAGGTAAGTCATTTACAACACATGATGTATTTCAAACTTTCTACTGACAACTGAAGTCAGCATTTATATATCATTACTGATCTCAATGTCTTTATGGGGAAAATCTAAAATGCCATTCATTTTTCAAAGTCTTTCAATCCCCTTCTTCAATAATCTGGATTGGAATAACAGATTCCAAAATGCACGTCACGTGATGTTTGACGTAAAATTTGAACCAATATGGAGACGCTAAGTCCTTTTATCTGAAGGCAACGCCGCTGTTCGTGATCTCGGCTGGCGTCTACAGCGTTGGTGAGATAATACCACGTTCACACAAGTTTTCGATGTAGGAATTTTTATAAAGACATATTCCCTTTAATTGTACGTTTGGTCTATGTTATCAAGTAGGGTAGAACTAAGACATAATAAACACAAATCTCTAAAAATAAACCAGATTAATGAAGGAACATGTGGAACTAGATGTAAAAATGTGGAATTCCATAAATTGATAATAAAACATATCTTTATAAATAGAAATGTAACCCTTGGTAACGAAACAACACGTATTGCATTTGTTTTATAGAGGAATAGAAGTGAGGGTCTATGAATGGTGTTTACTTACATAAGTACACCCCAGTTCCGACATCCGTGTCACTGTCGTTCGTTTTTTTCAAAGTTTTGTTAGCTTTACATTTCATTGGAACCCAACAAATCTCTAACCTAGTCGAAGCAACAGCTGTTTGATACCAGACCTCAGTGAATTCCCATACGTTTACGTTGTAATTCATAAAGAAAATTTAATTTTTCCGTCGTAGTTAAAATCTCAATGAATCTCCTGAATTTACATCATCCATTTTCAGTTTTTATTTTCTTTTTCTAAATGAACCTTACCAGGGTTGTAAGCAGTGTTTTCAATGGGAGTTACGTTAGAGAGATATGTATGTATATGCGGATGTGGGGCATATGAACCGTAGCCACAGACAGCCATTTACTATACGTAAATTCGGTGTCGTTTATTTACATATGAATAACCGATTCATTGCTAAGACCCATTTAAAGTGTTCGTAAAACGTTTCACTTAAGGAAAATATTCGAAGTTGTTTGAACGCTATGTTAGAATCAAGTTTATCACCACTGTGTTCAAAATCTTATATCTATTAGCACACGTGTAAACTGGTTACCTTAGAAATAAAGCGGAAGCGGAAATCAGGTACCATGTTGGTAAATTGAAAATGGGCGACCTCGTTCTCATGTGGTTTTTGTTTCTGTGTTAGCCTTGACCTTTTGGTAAATTGTTTTAAATAATTTGAATTTTTAGTCGCGTCTGTAATCTGTACACACAGTTGTCTCGTGTACTTGAAGGATATCAAGCTCATCTAGTATCTACATAATGAGGTTTGTTTGTTATGATTGCTGCACCAGTGTAAAATACTGATTTAATACACAAATCAGTTTCCATGTCACTTTCATACAGCAAAGGTTGTCTTGATACCAAGGTGTAACTGACCATAACGGACAGAGTGGCCATTCGGTGACCTTTCCTAGACAGCTAAACTATATATATGTTTGTATGAACTGACCACCAACATGGACATATTTGCCCCCAGATCATTCTGATAGCTTACAATATTTGTAAATGTAACCTTCAATGACCTCTCGATTTGACCAGTGGTTACCTTTTCCCTACCATGATATACACATGTACACTGTGATAAATTAAATAATGAATGTTTGACAAAAAAATTTAATATTTCCAAAATATTTACTATGTTAGAATGATTGTACAAAATACACACAACTGAATAGTAGCATTTAATACAAATTTATAATTGGATAAAGTAGAGCCAACCAATGACCTAAGCTACATCATACAGCTGTTTCGTCCTTCTAGGACTCGCTGCATCATGCAGTTGTTCCGTCCTTATCGGACACGTCTGTAATGCTACATCATACAGCTGTTTCGTCCCTCTAGGACTCGTCAGTGGTGTTGCATCATACAGTTGTTTCGTCCTTATAGGACACGTCTGTAATGCTACATCATCCAGCTGTTTCGTCCCTCTAGAACTCGTCAGTGTTGTTGCATCATACAGTTGTTTCGTCCTTATAGGATCTGTCTGTAATGCTAAAGGCCTACATTTTGAACCCTAAATCAAAAGCTTAATGGGGAGGTGCATAAGCCACTTAATTCAACAATTTCATAATTTTCATGTCTCTGATAATTTTAGGACAACGTCAAGTACATGTGCATATTCTGAATGGCGCCACAATTCGTATGAACGAAAACGTGGTATGCAGGTTACGGTAAACTTTGGCGGCTAAAAGTCCACCAGCAGTGTCTACTACCCGCAATTTGGAAGATTGTACAAATGACAAGGTACACAAGTAAACAGCATATCTTTATATGTAAATTTAGAGTTAATTACAATAGAGCCAAACAATAAATCAAATGCATTTTCAAAATACAACATTAATTATGGTAGGCATGACGTCATTATAATTATCGTTGAAATGAGTATCATAATGAAGACACTGTTACTAAATATAGCACTGTTGTTTATCCACAAAACAGTTTTATTATGGATAAAAGTAATTAAAACGTAAGTAGAAATTGAAAATTCTTGAGATAAGTTAAAGTTTGAAACTTCTTAAATCGGCCAAAGTATATATAGACTGTGTTTATATATGATAAACATATAGTCATACATTTCCATGTTTATACAAACACCAATACCGAAGTGATCCTATGAAGGCACATACATTTGAAGTATTTAAAACATAATTCTGACGTTCGAACGAAAGAATGCTCCTTTAACACTAGCAATTCTTGAAATAATTCAGAATTACATTTTACATTTTCAGCATCTCGTTTGACAAGTTAACGTTTAAAATATGAGCCAATTGTTTATTACTAGAATTTCGTTGTATGTGTACCAAGACCCGTTTTTTGACACTGTGACAGGTTTTTAAGACAGAGAGAAATGACAACACATTATATTGACCTGTGCCTTGGGAATGCACTGGAGGTACAAAAGGTCAAACTGTAATTACCCAGATAATAGATTTATTTGTTTTAATTATTAATCACAACAGATTAGATTCTTGCCCGTTTTAATTTATGAATGAAGGCACGCGCCAAGTCTTCAACCAAACCAATAGGAGGTTCTCGAGCGCACTGGTTAAACAAAACAGCTCTCAAATTAAACTGAATTTAAAATTTCGTAAAATTCATAAGTTTGTGGTATTTATGCCTATAAAGAAACTTTAACAAAATTTTAATTCGAAGTTCGTTTTTTTTTTTAATTTCCACTTTGGTGTTATAATTATAGAATGATTAAGCTGGCCATTCTGATTTGATTCGTGTACCTGTCACACGAGGTCTTTGACGATATAAGTAGATAGTAAATACTTTGTAATCAGATTGGTGATATGTATTTTTAACTAAAACACGACAACTTGACTACTTAACATTAGTATTACGTTTGATATTGGCAAGCACGTGGTGCCCAATATTGATCACAAGACTGATAGTTAACATTTACATAGCCAAAGTACATCCGAATACTGTCCAACATTCATTGATGGGTATCGGACCAGTGGACATACTAGACATTTTTATAGTAACGTCACCATTACAAACATAGACTCACTGACAGCTGGACAGACAGACAAACAGACAGACTTAAACGACAGTCGATACCGGAAGGCTTGGTCTAATTTTTTAGAAGAGAGTTTTTGACATCGGTATAACTTATGATGTGTCATCTGGACTATGGTTTATTCATTGTGTTTATGTTAATTAATAAACATCTCTTTAGTAATTTCTGACACCAGTTAAATGTGGAGGACAAAATCAATTACAAATTTATAAAGTTTAATCAAGATCGAAACAATATGAATTGTATATTATGAAACGTTAACACAACTGGGTAAAGACAAGACACGATATATCATCATTACTTCTAATTAAAAACTGACTGAAATAATCGTAACATGCATAAACGATGATAATTAATATATAGATGAATTCTAGAAATAGTTATATCATTATAGTTATATCGTTATACCACAGAAATAGTTATATCATTATATCACAGAAATAGTTAAAACGATATACCACAGAAATAGTTATATCACAGAAATAGTTATATCATTATATCACAGAAATAGTTATATCATTATACCACAGAAATAGTTATATCACAGAAATAGTTATATCACAGAAATAGTTATATCGTTATATCACAGAAATAGTTATATCATTATACCACAGAAATAGTTATATCACAGAAATAGTTATATCGTTATACCACATAAATAGTTATATCATTATACCACAGAAATAGTTATATCATTATACCACAGAAATAGTTATATCACAGAAATAGTTAAAACGATATATCACAGAAATAGTTATATCAATATATCACAGAAATAGTTATATCATTATACCACAGAAATAGTTATATCATTATACCACATAAATAGTTATATCATTATACCACAGAAATAGTTATACCACAGAAATAGTTATATAGTTATACCACAGAAATAGTTATATCATTATACCACATAAATAGTTATATCATTATACCACAGAAATAGTTATATCCACAGAAATAGTTATATCGTTATATCACAGAAATAGTTATATCATTATACCACAGAAATAGTTATATCGTTTACCACAGAAATAGTTATATCGTTATACCACAGAAATAGTTATATCATTATACCACAGAAATAGTTATATCACATAAATAATTATACCACAGAAATAGTTATATCATTATACCACAGAAATAGATATATCGTTATACCACAGAAATAGTTATATCGTTTATATCGTTATACCACAGAAATAGTTATATCATTATACCACAGAAATAGTTATCATTATACACAGAAATAGTTATATCAATTATATCCACAGAAATAGTTATATCATTATACCACAGAAATAGATATATCGTTATACCACAGAAATAGTTATATCGTTTACCACAGAAATAGTTATATCGTTATAC